CATAGATAATTCAGATCTAAATCACTGATTTTGGTATAGATGTTCTAATAATCCGTCATCATGATGGGTAACCATGAGGTATCACTGTAAGCATAAAGAGGAATTTTCTTTAATTTATGTTTATGAACCTAGTTCATAAACTAGGTTCTAAGTTTATGCGCCTAAGACTTAGTACTTGCCAATCAGTGCTAAGTACTGTAGGTAGCAATAATGTTGTGGTATGACCTAAGAGTTTGTATTCTAGGTAAAGAATGAATTTTAATTGACTGCTATGTAATCAGTATTTTGCATTAGTTTGTGCTGTGCTGTGGGAAGAGGATAATGGCTAGTCTGCAATTTTTTGTTCTGGTTCTCGCCAGGAACTATCGCTGAATTGTTTGGAGGGAAACCAGAATTTGAAAAAGGAGTTTTCAAGATATGTATGATGTTATACTTTATTAACATTTTGAAGGCAGTTTAATAAACCTTGACAGTCACTCTTAAGAATGATGTTTGGCTTCTCAGTGTAATGTATCTTATGATAGATCAGGTGTGTATTCTGATTGTTCTGAAAATATCTTCTTGAGCTGTTTGAATTAACAGGAATTGTTGAGTGGACTCAAACCTGATATATACAAAGGATTTTGAATGAACAGTTCTGCCTTTTGCCCTCCTTTCATCTCAGTTTCAAAGTTTGCAACAGCCAAACTAAAATAGAAGTTCAAGTTAGATATATTTTCATCTGACAGGATTAATCATTTTAGGCATGTTTGCATGCAGCAGGATTGCTATTTGCTGATAAATGTAAAATCCACCCTTTAGTTTGATATAGGGTGATTATATATGATTATGTGAATAAGCTACGTGTCTGATTTTTTTTTAATATTCAGGTTCAGACTGGCCTGAGATACAGCAGATTCCCTCAGCTATTTTGAATTGTTGCTATGGAAGCATCATTTTCAGTCAAAGATAATCTATTTGTAGAGGCAGCCTTCTTTATTTCAGTGTTCATTGTGTATACAATGGAAAGCTTGTTTTTTTTTTCCTGTTAGCTTTTCTTTCCTTTCCACCAACATGTTAAAAAGTGTTTTGCGTTTTTTTAAAGGGAAAATTATAGGGAAATTAGTTATTGCTAAAGAAAGAAGTTTCATTTGGGAGCACAAGGGCTACACCAAATATAGGAAGATGAATGGTTGATTATATACATTTGCATATGTACTTTTATGAGCAATACATTGCTGTGATGTTGATAAAAGTACTGTCTTTCCTAGCTAGCTTACATAATTTGGATTTTATTAAGGTCAAAAAGTAAAAAAAAAAAAAAAAAGAACTCTTGCAAACCTTTTCTGCCTACTTAACTGGAGGCAATTCTTACTAACTAACCTGATGACTATTTCAAATCAAATCTTTTGGATTGTTGACATTGCATTCCCTAATCTGAGGAAGTTTTACTCAACCCAGAATATAGAATTAAATCAGCTAAGTGAGTTAAATAACTATATTTGGCCTCTTTTAGGGAACAAATACCTATGTAGCCTTTTATGGCTGGACTACAGTATTTAATATTTTCAACATGCATTTCATACTGTGAGACATTCAAAATTCCACATACTGTGGTTTTAGGGAGGTGTAACTGCTATATGGATCAAAGTTCATTCTATATTAACTTTTTTTTTAAGTTCAGACATTTAATTTTCTGTTACAGAGAACAAGGTTAAAGAGACTGCTGCAATGAAAGCAGATCATCTGAGGGCCAGAAATATGAAAAGGTATATCAATCAGCTAACTGTAGCAAAAAAACAATGTGAAAAGCGCATACGACTTCTGGGAGGCCCTGCTTATGATCAACCAGAAGATGGTATTTTTGAGGATAGTGATGGTCCTCAGAGCCAGAAGGTAAGAGAGCTTTGTTTGGGGTAGGGTGGGTGTGAGACACATGAGGGTGGGGGGAATGAATGAGTTGCCTCAGTGCAGATTATTTTGATTTTAATTTTAGTAGCTAAGTAGTGACTATAATGTGCCTCCTCCTTACAATGCTCAACAATGTTGGAAGTGCTTGGACTGATGGGGGGAGTCAGCATTACAGTTTTTTCTTAACCAGCCTTACTCCACTCTCTACTAGGGATGCAACTACTACTGAAAAATGCTGTGGCATGTATTTGTGAGAAAAGATTGTATTGCTACGGCTCATGCATTGTTTAAAAAAATCAGAAAGGGTTTGTGTGTCTACAAACAACTTTCCTGTATTCAGAAATTAAGCCATTTCTGAACATTTTTGCTATGACTGTTCTTCAGTGAACATGTTACTGTGTCCAGTAGAGCTGGCCCAGAACTAGTATGTTTTCTGAAATGCATGGAAGTACAGAATAAAAGACCTGCCTAAGGTTCTCTGGAGAACAACAAAGGATCCTTTTTCTGTCCAGAAGCTGTTCTGTTTTTTCCTCACTGATTTTGTTCTGGGGGAATGAAAAGTATTGGTGGAAGCAGTCAGAAGTTGCAAAAGAACAGCCTTGTCTGGGGGCTGCTATATAAATTGAGCAAACTCCGGGAGGCAGTGAAGGACAGGAAGGCCTGGCGTGATATGGTTCATGGGGTCACAAAGAGTCAGACACGACTTGACAACTGAATATAAATCAGTAAAGGAGGCAAAATAGATGGGAGAAATGGCATTTGAAGAACTTGAAGGAAACAGAGAAAGAGAAATGGTGCTACATTTCCTTCTTTATGTTACATCTAAAGCATGGAAGATTATTACCTTTGGGAAAAAAAGATCCAAAAAGAGTGGTGGGGAGAAAAGTCATTGCTCTGCCATGTAGTCTGTTTGAAAGGGGAATATGGAAATGGGACACCCAAGCCAAGGTTCTAGAATCAGTTTTTAAAATTAAACCTAAAAATTAAGAGACTCAGAGGTGCAAAAACAGCCCTCAGCTGAGGGCAAAAAATGCTAGTAATTCAGGTTAATTATTTACTATTCAAAGACTGTTCATGTTATGTTCACAATCCAAGGCAGTTACAGTCTAAGAAACAAACTCTAACAAAAGACTAAGATAGCTCAGGGAATGTAATTTCTGGTTAATTAAAGGAAGTTTATTGTAACTGCCTGAGCCCAGGGCCTCATCCACTCCTTCCCACAGAGCTTCTCTTAAGCAGCTGATCTTTAATTCTTAATGTGGTAAGAGAAAAAAAAAATTAAATAATTATTGTATTAGGTGTATTCAGCTAATTAAATTATCTTTAATTAAATCAGATTTAATTTTTGTCCTGGTCCCACCAGTTTGTTGGAATGTAGTATCCGGCATGTTGTTTAGAGGCCAAGCTCTCTGCCTGAAGAAAGTTGCACAGCTGTGTGTTGTGGCTCATAGATAATTTGCTAGAAGAGAAAGCCCTTTGGTTCTAACTTCTGGAGACTGAAACAGATCTTTTAGTTTATAGACAATGGTTTGCAAATTTTTATTGCCACTGATTATTCTTTCTTTGGGTATTAATAGTGATGTTACATTGAATTTCATAGCTTCTTACAGAGCCCAGTGCATTCACCCAAGAATTTTTGTCTAAAGATGCCTTGTAATTAGCAAGATGTGATATTACATTCCATTTTTCAAGACTGGGGAAAGGATGGAAGAATCTTCCAGAGTTCACATTGTCTTTGAAAACACATTGGGAGGTTTTATTGCTTCCCAGTGCTTGGCAGCATGGGGTGGGGGGTGGGGGGAATATAGGAAACTTTGTTTTTTTTGGTGCCTTCGAGTCAATGATGACTCCTGTTGACTGTCTGGACTAGTCCCTG